ACTACCTCTGTGGAAGAATCTTTGGTCCATCTCTTCCTCCATTGTTCATTTGCTGTCAAGTGTTGGGAATGGATTTATATTCAAACTTTCAACCAGCTAGATGCTTACCAGAACTTAGAAATGATCAAGGAACAACTATAGGTACCCTTCTTCATGGAGATTATCATTCTAATGTGCTGGGCTATCTGGAAGTCAAGAAACAACCTAATTTTCGACCAAGTTCAGCCCTCTTTGCAATAAGTGAAAAGGATCTTCATATCAGAGCTTGCACTGCTTCTTTGGCGTCCAAAAAGGAGTCATCTTCCCCTCATGAATCAGTGGTTAAACAATCCGGTTTAATCTATTAAGTGTGGCTCATTTTCTTTCTCTCCTTTTTTTTATTTCTTGAGCAGCCTTTCTCTGCTGCTGTTGTAGCTGTGGCTGCTTCTGTTGTTAGTGCCCCTGCTACCCTTTATTTTTGTACTCTTATTCAGTTCTGTTACTAATAAAATCTGCAGTAGGGGCATGCCCCTCCTGTTTCCTTAAAAAAAAAATCTTCATGACTAAGGGCTACTGGTTGAAGTTCACTAGGCTCCTCCAACATCATGTTATTCTTGAGTTAGGTTCTCCATTGGCTCACGTCACTTGCCTTTCAACTCCAATGTCATGACTTGTTTTTGTACATGGTTTTCTAGACCACTGTCTACCACCATGTCAAAACAACTCGATTAGCACCTTTCACAACGTCTTTGTATTGCCTCCAATGTGTCTCCGTTGACAAGTTCAACACATAACGTGTTCTATCCTTCCCAGAATCAAACCATCCTTTCATCGTAAACTCACTATAAAACTTATCCCTTGCATGGCATACAAGCTCACTAAGGCTATCTTTGACTCTTCTTATGACCTTCCATATTTTTATTATTCTCTAACACACTAAACTCTCCATCTACATTAATTCTAAGACGCAATATATCATAACTTAACTTCAACACCTATAAATAAATGAGGCCTTTTCTAAGACGCAATCATACGCTGGGTGGGTTGTTTTGAAATTTTCGTTTGTTTGTTCACGTGGCGCAGCCGCGCGCCTACCCGCCGCACGCTTTTTATCTTTTCTGATGATGAATTCTGGCGCCGCTTGCGGACACGGCCGGCGGCGACAGCGTCTTCAGCCTTTTCTGATGATGAGGGGAGGCTGCTTGCGCACCCGACGGCGCACGGCGTCTTCCAATTGAAGCCGCGCGCGCGCGAGCGCGACGTCCCAATCCAACACCCCACAATCCACATCGGGAGATGGCAATTCTTTGCCTGTTTGCCATTGTTTTGTCCTCCTCTCCTACTTTCTTACGCGAGACGACGACGACGACACATCGATCGGCTTATTATACAATCTATACTAGGTAGAGTATATGGAGAGCAGCATGATTGAGATTGACTAGCAGATTCCGCTGACGCGCATGCAGGAGACAATTCATTGACAGGGCATCAAATCGACATGTTTTGCACCAATCGCGTCCTTGATTGCCTTATTTCGTTCTGGTACCGTGCATTGTCAAATGCAGTAGTAGTACTCCGCGAATGGAGGCATTGGCTCTTTCTGTAGAGCATAATCTGCGCCACCACTCCAGCATGCAGAGCCTCTTGGCTCTTTTTGTACTACTAGCAACCTAGCACGGCGGCTAAGACAGCGGCTGGTTACTACATCCCTGGGTGTTTTTAGTTACTCAGAAGTCAGAAAAGCAAACCACCACACAATATCTACTCCCTCTATACTTAAAAAAAATGTAAAGTCGTGCAAGTCAAATTAGTTTAAATTTTATCATATCTATAATGAATATTAACATTTATGTCTCTAAGTAGATTTACTATAAAAATATATTTTATAATTAATTTATGATTCTTAAGTTGTATCATAAAGGTTGATATTTTTTTATATAACTTTGGTCAGAATTCAAAGCGTTTGGCTTTTTTTTTTAAAAAAAAGTGAGGAGTGCAACTTTTTGACTATTCTCTGAGGATCTACTCCTCGTCACATCACTTCATTTTTCTTATGCAAGTCACATCGTGGATATTTTTGAACAAGCAGGAGGAGCTTGCGCCCCTACTGAATTCACATGGATATTTCAAGTCCAATGGATCAAAATCAGTACAATCTTCTATCTGAAGTGCTAGGTCATACAATCTTCAGTTTCACCGACTTTTTACAAAAGAAGATACAAATATTTATGATATAAAAAATATATATTTATAATTATAATTGTTGACATTATTATTTATAAAACTTAATTATACTTATAATAGTTTGACTTAGACTAGATCTAGATATGTTTTTTTTTAACACAGAGGGATATTTCTCGTCCTGTTCGTTTGGGCTAGTTTGGCTTATAAGCCATGACTGAAAGTACTGTTGGCTGGTTTGGTGTGAGAGAAAAATAATACTCCCTCCATCTCAAATTGTAAGTCATTCCAAGAATCTTGGAGAGTCAAAGCTTCTCAAGTTTGACCAAAATTATAAAAAAATTACAAAGATTTATGACATCAAATAGGTATACTATAAAAATATAATTAACAAAGAATCTATTAGTACTTAGTTGGTATCATAAATGTTATTATCTTATTATATAAACTTGGTCAAACTTGAGATGCTTTGACTCTCCAAGATTCCTGGAATGACTTACAATTTAAGATGGAGGGAGTATTAGTTAGCTGATAAGTCATGGCTTATAAGCTAAATACAACCAAGCGAACAGACTTAATAACGGGCCTGCCATCCTGCTCTCTCTGGCCATTAACAGGTACGTAGGCCCATCGCTCATTCTACCTACAACGACTAGGGCCTATCTCTGGATGTACAAGAAATATTATAACAGACCTGTTGGTGTGGCATATGCCATGGTCCTGCATCGCCATATTTTGTATCTTCAATTCAATATATAACTTGAACTACATATAGATTTCGATCGTGTGGCTGCTAATTTTGATGGACATTTATTTCCCTTATTTTGAGAGCCTATATATGCATGCTGCAGATTTGGTTGGCCGGCATGTTGTGTCGTTTGCTGGGCACATTAATTTCTTCAGCTCACGGGTGTAGCAACCAAAAAAGAAGCGATTTTTTTGAAAAGTAAAAAAAATCCACTTGTATTCTCGGAATTCTCTAACTCAAAAGACACGTCAGTTCTGTAACCAAAATCTTCCTTTTCCGCTTTGCAAAATTTGTGAGATACGAACGAGTACATTCATCTAACGTCGGGACGTATACAAATTCTCCACGGCTTGATCGATATCACTGTTACTGTTATGGTAAAAATAAATCTAAACACTCCGGAGAAACAGTTGCAGGCAGGGTCTATATCTTGACGGTGACGGTGGTGATCGAAGCCGGCCGGAGATTGATGTGAATATCCATCCATCCAGTAAATTAATTGCCATTGCCGACCCCCGCAAGAAGGGGCTCCTCCGTCGTCGTCTTATCCTCCCATTTGTGTAACCTTTTCTGTGCTTCCTCTACCTGAAACATAATTATCCAAACAGAGACAACGGAAACAAGTAGCAACAACACACAGTTAGCAGAGCTTAGCATTCATGATTGAACCTAGATACAAAAGTAAAAATGAAAATGTATCTTTTATTCTGCAAGTTTTAGGAATTCCGACCTCTTTGTTCCAATCAGTTCTCAAGGTGACCCACAACAAAATAGCCGTCTGCATGCAAGTTCCTCCAATCATACCACCCCAAATACCCTGTCAGGAGAGGCATGAGTACGTCATTAGAGTTCATCATCATTCGGTATACAAAAATTAAAAAACATTACTAACTATGCATTTGAGCTCATTACCTTTACACCGAGCTTGAAGACGAACCCGAGGAGGGCGCCGAGGGGAACACCAACTATGTAGTAACAGCCAATGTTCACGTAGGCTACGAATTGTTGCCACCCACACCCAACAGCGACACCTTTTATGTGAAATATTTGCTTGTTAGAAATGTTCAAATCACACGGAGAACGAACTACTCCTACAAGTCATGATCAGAAATAATCAGTCGAGGTATCATCCATTTATTTCTGATCATGATGTAAGTTTGCTGTGCTCTCCCCATTCAATTAAGAAGGAAAGAGATGGGAAGCACTTGCCCAGCCACCACATGATTTCTAGGAGAATCGATCATTGCACGTCCTAAATATTGACATGACACCCACTAAAGTTGCTCGTAGTGCTTACGAGTCTGTATATACTATATAGTGTAAAATGTGAACAGGTCAATTTTTTTTTTTACGAGGACATATAGGCGTTTTCATTGGTTGCATGAGAGACGTGGTAGTATTTGGTAAGTCATTGATTACCTAATTCAAACTTAAATGTATCTCAAGCTTTATCATCATCAGACAAAAAGTAGTGGCCTGAGATAATAACCATTCTAGTGCAAACATCTAAAGTTCCTCATACTGAATGGATTGCTCAGTCAGTTAGAGGATAAATTATTCCCACTGACCTAATAATTAATAACTGGTCTATGCATGCATGTCAATAGGTATGACTAGAAAAGCTTCAAGCTTCTTAATGATGAACACAAACAATTGGTAAAGCAGGTTTTGGATGCTACGTTTACTAATTTGGTACGTAGTAGCATATAGCAGGTTCACATAAGAGATTGAGAGAGAGTCTCTGAAATCTATACCTGATAGAACAGGTTGGATGCCGTTGAGAATGAGCGTGATGGCAAGCAGTGGGCAGAGATCCGCCACCGCGTTGGACACCACCTCACCCTCTGTGAACAAGTAGCTGATGTAGTTGCGCAGGCAGAGGATCACGATGCTAAGCATGACAGATATCAGTGTGGAGACCGCAGTCACTACCCACACTGAGAAGCAGGCAGATTTTGGGTGGCCGGCACCGAGCTCATTGCTCACTCTCACGCTGGAAATCAATCATTCAGAAGTCAGTTAGCATACACAGATTAAACCAGTAATAAATTAAGCCTGGCAGCTGTAGTTTGTAGTTGAGTTGCGAACCTACCTGGCAGCAGCATTGAACCCTACTGAGATCATGAACACCCACCCAGAAATAGTCATGCTGCAGATCAGATAACACGAACAAGACAACAAGATTAATGTTTCTGATTTGACATGATTTTCTGGTAACGTACTACGCTACTACTCACCATACAGACAGCGCATCCAATGCAAGTTCAGGGTTGGGGAGCAAGCCGGCGATGAGCACCAGGACCTGAAAGTACCAGGTCTCAAGGCAGAGCATAACGGCCGACGCGGCGGAGAGCTTGAGGAAGTCCCACAAGCCCGAGAAGGCCTGGCAGGTGAATCCGGTCCAGGTGTGTCGGCACCTGGGGCTCATGACGATGTACGCGAACTGCGCGGCGACGATGAGCCACCAGCTGAGGCTGAGCACCAGGGAGGCCCCCAGCAGGCCGAGGCCGGCCTTGTAGACGACGACCCAGCTGAGCAGCAGGTGCAGCGCCAGCGTGGCGGTGGAGATGTAGGCGCTCGGGAGCACGATGCTCTGCGCCTGCATGAACTTCTGGATCGGGAAGTTGATGGCGTACGCGAAGATCTGCGGGATCAGGCCGTACACGAAGATGGACGCGGCGCGGGCGATCTCCGGCGACTGCCCCAGGAACACCAGGATCGGCTCCGAGAAGGCGTAGAGCACGGCCAGCGGGACGCCCGTGGCGCACAGGAGCACGGCCGAGCGCTGCAGGTAGATGCCCAGCATGTCGTACTTCTGGGCGCCGTAGGCCTGACCGCAGAGCGTCTCCACCGCGCTGCCCATGCCCAGCTGCGACAACCAAACTATTATGAACATCTGGTTCTTCATTTTGGTGGAACCGTGATTCGCGACAAATAAATTTAAACAGAAGATTCGGGCCAATTTCATGATATTGTGAATAAGGCCCATACATGCGAACGGCTTTACCTGACCAGTAGGCAACAATGATGCAGGCCCATCTATGCATTGCAAAGGCCCGGAAAATCTTTTGTTTTCATAATTTTTTTGAAAGAAACTTTATTTGTAAAAAAACAATTCGTTGATTTAAATTTAAACAAGGCTCTTGTCGCCGTCTTGCTCCGGCTGACAAATAAATTGCCTTACATTGGACGATTTTTGTCCATTTTCTACATTGGAGTATCTTAAAAATCTCCACTCTTTTATATGAGCTCAACTAAAGGCAAACTTTATGCGACAGCTATAGAGCTCAATGAAATCTGTAACTTTATAGTTCACCCTTATTTTGTGTACAATCATATTGGTGTTGAAATAATTGATATAAATTTACAGATATAGAAATACATATTTGAACATTATGGTTTTTCAAATAATTCAACAGTCATGTACATAACTTTATTAACCAAAAAAAAAACGGTGAGCTGTATCTCTATTCGGGGTCATATGGTCAGGAATGTTTTTTTAACAAATTGTTAAGATGTGGGCCACTCCTCTTCTTAAATTATATGGTGGTGCTGGTCACATATCACTATATCAGCAACAACTTAAAGTTCAAGCAGAAAATACAATCAAAAGTAAAAGACCTAATAAAAGACGGACATACTAATTTAAGATGGTATGTATTAAACCTTAATTTTACAGAACATCTTCACACATGTATATGATTCGATGTAAACTTAGCGTAGCTTAGTTGGTTAGGTTTTTGTTGTGGAATCTGTTCTTCTAAATTTAAGTATTTTTTAACATTGGTGATATCAATTTATTCTAGTGTTTTGCACCGTGCACACTTAATTGTAGTTTGTTACTAAAAAAGGTCAATTAATAATTTCAGCGAAAAACTAGAAGCAGATTTAATTTAGAGAGCGTATATATAAAATGGTAAAAGATTATTATCCATGCAACTAATAAGTGCAGGGTGAGCTAATCATTTAGAAATGCTTTATAATCTAACCATTTCGTCATCGATCTTGTGGTTTGGCTCATTTATGCTGGAAAGAGTCAAAAGGAAAGGACCAGAAGCTAACATTTGGAGGTTATGTAGACTACGACAGCCACCAAGAAACCAAACTAAAGCTGGAAGCATCGAAAACGATCACGTACGATAGCGACCGTTTTGTCCCTGCATGTATGTATGTATCGTCAATTTCTTCATGAACACAGGTGCCCGGTGTGACGGTCAGAGATCTACTAGACGTGAGGCCCAATTTTGCTAGCACTACTATCAGGTAGGCAACCAACGGGGACACCCTTCTAGAAAGGAAACGAGCACGCCCTAGACGACGAGCACTGCAGGATCGGAGGACGTTACGTGAAATGAAAGCGCGGGCAACGCTCTGCCCGTCGTCCGGCCGGCGCTCAGCTCGCTCGTTCCATGGCTCCATGCAGAAGCAGCCGTTCTGGCGCCGCCACTAGGCAGTACCAAGGTTTTTTTTATCGGCCGAAATTCACGGAAATTTTCGAAATTTTCTTTTTATCCACAGGGTCTGATAAAATTTGACATCGGTTAAATTTTTCTCTTCTTTCCTGCTTCCACACAGACAACCTAAATTCAGCCATACGACAATCCCACACTATAATGTTTTATTCTTGTTTTTATCTGTGAACAAATGATGTTTAATAGCTTAGGAATAGTTTCAAGTTAAATTTTACGGAATTTTTTCAAAATAATTTGATTTTTTTTTGAATTTGATCCGATATATCCGATATATCTTGCTTATCCTATTTATCCATGACCTTCAATAAATTTTTATTTCCGATAATGAAAACCTTGGACAGTACTAGCCAATTTGTTTGGTAGCAGGTCTCACTCAAAGGTACCTCGCTTCTGCTAGCGCCACTCTGATGGCGATGAGCAGCAGCAAGCCGGCCGGCCGGCCGGAACGCTGGATTTCGTCCGCTTTGCTTGCGGTTGCAGCAGCTCAGGATCTATAGGGAGGGCTCGCCGATTGTGTCGTCTCCTTTAATTTCGTCATGAGCGTCCCGGAGGTTGCGCGGTAGGATCGAAATGAGGTCGCTCTTGCTCAGGATCGATTAGTGCCCCCGGATTGGCTTGGCATTGCGAGTCTCACGACTAACGATGAGCATGCAGCCTGGGACACGGCAGCCTGCCCAAAGCACGGTTTTTTAGACCGGTCCGAGCACGGCACAGGCCGGTCTTGTGCAGGCCCGGGCCAGCACGGCCCCATGCACCGGGCCATGCCTAGGTCGCTTCCCAGGCATGCCGGGCGGCACGGCACGACCCAGTAAATGACCAAAGGCCCGGTGAGAAAGCCCCAGCAGCAGCAGGCCAACAGCCCACCACGCCTTCAGCACCCAGGCACTACAGCCTGCTCCCGCAAAAGCTCACCACGCCTCCTCCCTTAACCCTAACTTCGCTACACCCCGGCCCCTCTCCCACGCCGCCGCCGCGCACTCAGCTCCTCGCCTCCTGCTCGCTCGCGTTGGCCCCCTGCACCCGCGGACACACCGGCCTCCAGCACACAAGCACGGCGGACGAGCATGACGACGTCGAGCGCACCAACCTCCTCCACGCTCCCACGCGCTCCGGGCCTCCTCTCCTGCCGCGCGCGGATGCTCCATCACCGCCTGCGGCTGGATCTGCCTCGGCGGCGAGCGCGGGGCAGCCATGGAGCTGCGGCTACAGGGGCGAAGAAGCGACGGCACAGCCTCGACCTTCTCGACTTCTCCTCGTCCCTTTCCCTTGCAAGCGAGCCTCGGGCCAGCCCAATAGGCTTTTGGGCCCATGCTTTTCAGGCCAGCACGGCCCCAAAATCAGGCCCGGGCACGAAGGACTGGTGCGGCACGGCACGGCGGCACGCCGAGCCCTTCCGTGCCATGCCCTTTCGGGCCGTGCCTAGCACGGGCCCGTGCCGGGCTGGGCCGAGCGGCCCGTTTGCTCATCTTTACTCACAAGTCACCTCCTTTTTTTTTTTCTTTCTTTCTAGACTAGACTATAGACAAAGAGCTCCCTCCTGGCGCAAGTCGAGCGTGTCGTGTCCTGCAGTCCTGCTCCCATATTCAAACATCCCTCAACAATTTTAAACACAACTTGTATTTGGTCAAAACCTACCTACAATTCCAATGTGGGCCTCCCCTAGCCCAAGAATGAAGAGCTGGTTGGCAGAGTGGACGGCAGAGGTCGTATATATTCTACTCCTAGTAGTCCTAGTATGATACTGTCATCGTAACGTGAGCATATGAACCCGATTCAGGAAAAGGAATTCCCACACTTACTATTATTTTTGTTATAAGGCTATGTTCGCTTCAGTTTATAAGATAGAATCAATTTTATTTTTTCGTCACCAAACCGTTTTTTTTTTTCACAATAAATTAGCTCAATAAATCAGCAGCAAGATCATACTTCGTTCAATTGGTTCAAGAGGAACGTCCCGTCCCTACCTACCAAATTAATACCGATCAACCAACAACAATCTAAATTAAGCCCGGCGGCGTTTGCTGCTGCTTTATTTGCACTGCGGCAAATAAAAAATACTGCCGTCCTCTCGCGCTTTCTAATAATGCCTGCCTGCCTGCCACGCCCGGATAATCGATGGTAACTAACTAACTAACTAAAACAGTCTCATCGAGGAGCCCGGCCGGATAATCGGGAGAGAGGGACAACTAACTACGTACGCATCCATCCACGACGACAAATCAAAGCAATCAGAAGGCGGAGGAGAAAGAAACCTGCAGGGATGGATATGCATGTATGAGTATGACTGTGCGTGCGTGCAGTTGCGTACATACCATGAGGCCGTAGGCGAAGATCTGGATGCCGGTGTTGCCGAGCGAGGCCGCGGCGAGCTCCAGGTTGCCCAGGTGGCCCGAGAAGATCTGCGTCGACATGGACATGAGGTAGTTGATCATGTACATCACCACCGCCGGCGCCGCCAGCCGCGTCAGCAGCCGCAGCTCGATGGACGCCGCGGCCCACGCGCGGCGCGCCCACGGGGACGACGCCTCCGCCTCCGCCGTCAGGATGCTCTCCAGCCGCCCCGACGCGCCGTCGTGCGCGTCCGCCTCGTCGCCGGCCATGCTCTCCCGAGTCCCGACGACCTAGGCTATGTGTCTTGCTTGGGATGGAACCAAGGCGGGCAGGAAATTAAAGCCTGGGATTCCAAGGGCGAGTCTGATAATTTATCGCATCGCCCCTGCTATGCGTCTCTCGTCGTGCCACTGTGACTGAAGTCTAGAACGTTCTGCCCCCAGAGCCTATACGAATGGATAAGAAAATGCAAAATATTCCAACACGACCTAGTGAACTCTAGAATTCATCGTTGGCAACAATAATGTAACATTTGATCATTGCCATTATGAAAAATTAATCCGCATGCAACACCTTGCAAGAATGGTACAGTACATCTCTTTATTTTTTCTCCTTTTATAAAATTTAAAAAATATAATTTATTTTTATATCCATAATATAAGTTAATGTTGATAATAATATCACAATGTCCTATTAAACCTACATCGAATTAAACTACGGTACATTTTTTCTCCCGTTGCAAAGCATAAAAATATTTATCTCAAAAATATATATCATAACTTTAACTTTTTTTTACTATCTGTATGTCGTTATGCACAGTTAAATATGGAGTTCCATGACGTAATTTTAATCTAGGATAAAGTATTAGTTGCCAATAATGTCAAGGATTCATCTATCTACTGACAATTATATGACAAAGACCTCTCTTAATTTTTCACGTGATGGCCTTAGTCGGGGATTGTACTGGGACACGTGAACAACTTGAAGACACAGTCATTTTAACTGGTTTGGACAACAACCTACTCAGTATTTCAATTTATAGTTTGATTAGTTGGACAATAGTAATAAGCTCATCAATGTTCTAATAAAAATAATTTTTGTTTTTGATGAAAACTACATCGAGTGAGATCTTTATTTTCTAGATAAAGATAGATCAAGAGTTCAAAGACCCATAACGTTGCAATTTATTGTTTTTAACATTTATTCTATATATAAAAATAAAAAGAATTGTGAGGTACGCATCCGAAGGGACGTACGGATTGAACGGGAAATCGGACGGCGACCAGAAAAAAGAAAACGGAAAAAACGTGGGCAGAAAACGGAAGTACGAACGAAAAGAACATCAGAACCGTACGGGCGGCGACCACAAGAAAGAAAAAAAGGAGTTAACGCACGAACACTCGGAATCGGATTTGAAGGACGAAGGAAGGACCAACAGTTTACTCGTCGGTAACAAATGAATATCAAAACGGAAACGAAAATGGACCGAAAGTAATAAAAAAATGAACGAAGAATTTGAAAGGCAAATCTTTGGCATTATGGAGGGGCAGTTCGGCGGGTAAGAAAACCAGTCGAATTCCACTGTGCACGGCTGGTTTTCACTGTTTACTCTTTTCCAAATTCCTACAAATTCATTCAGATTCCTCCCAGGGAACCGGGTCTATGGAGGAGCAGCTCTCTCTCTCTCTCCCCTCCGGCCAGTACACGTCGCTCAATTATGCCGAAGAATTTTTTGAAAGGCGAAAGAATAAAACATCGTGCGACGATTGTGTGCCGAATACGAAGAAATCAACATTGGTTCACCCCGAACAGCAAACACCCGTCTCATCCCTTTGCTTCACATTTCCTCATTGGCTCAATGGTCTGGGCCCTGACATAATATTACCATTAGATAATGATTGCTGGAAAAGTAATAAAATTGCTTGGTTTGGTGTGTGATCAAGCATTTTTTTCATCTCCGGTAGCGAAGCACGAGCATTTTAGCTAGTATTAGAATAAAATATAAACTAATTCGAACTAAAGTGACACTGTTTTAGTGCGTGGTTCAAGTTCTCTGACAGACACTAATGTAGATGGCAGGTTCTCTTTCACACACACTTCAATCAATGTAGGCCGTGTTCGGCTGGCTGGCTGGATGATTGCCGGCTGGTCAGCCACCTCATAAAATCACTATTTACGTCCTGCCAGAACAATATTTTTCTCTCACAACAATCAGCCAAAACAGTATTTTTCAGTCCTGCCGAACAGGCCCGTAGATGGTAAACTGAAGGTTCAAAACCGTGATCCAAGAACTTGTCTTTTAGTGCACATAAACCTAAAGTTTATTATTTTCATATGAATTTTTCAAATGCAAGTTTGAATTTCAACTTTTTCGTGTGAGTAATTTGTACGCATTATGGATGTGCCAAGCTTTAATTTTTTTTAAATGACTAAAATATATTTTTTAAAATTAATTTTCATAGTTTTACATAGTATAGATGGTTTCCACCATATATTTTTCCTAAATATTCGGACAGACACTTTGATTCCGCCCACCGATAAAAGGGTCGCACAATGACCAAGCTAGTGCGACATCTCTTTAATAAAAAAGTTTGTACTATATATTCTCTTTCACACACACTTCAATCAATGTAGATGGTAAACTGAAGGATCAAAACGGCGATCCAGGAACTTTGTCTTTTAGTGCACATGAACCTAAAGTTTATTATTTTTGTATGAATTTTTCAAATGCAAGTCTGAATTTCAACTTTTTTGTGTGAGTAATTTCTACACATTATGGATGTGTGCCAAGCTTTAATTTTTTTAAATGACTAGATATATTTTTTAAAAATTAATTTTCATAGTTTTACCAAGTAGATGGTTTCCACCATATTTTTTTTTCTAAATATTCAAACAGACACTTTGATTCAGGCATTCAGCCCACCAATAAAAAAGGGTCGCATGATAACCAAGCTAGTGCGACATCTCTCTAATCTAAAAGTGTATATCGGTCCTATTCGCTTCGCTGAAAAAAATAAGTTGAAACATTGTCCGGCTGATTTGTTGTGAGAGAAAAATACTGTTCCGGATAAAAAAACAAGTTGAAAAAGATGGATTACAAGAGAAGCGAACAAAGCCACTGTATATGTTAGCCCTTTCCTCCAAGTTTTTACAAACATGAACAGTTGAAAAATTCAACATGTGCACTCACCGCACGCAGCCAAACCAAAGACGCCCGCAGTGACCTCAGGCGAACATATATGTTACCTACAGTTGCTGCCGTCTCCAGTTTAAAACTGTTCGAGATGGAGACTTCCATGTAAGATATATACACTTCACATACCTGATAGAGAGGACAGTTGCATATTATATTGCACGGAGGCTTCTAGAACAGTACTCCTGCTATGTCCAATGGTAAAATAGGATTAAATTCATCAATGATCCTCAAAGTTATCTTGAAGTGTCGTCTACATCCCAAAGTTCTCAAATGCATTTTTTTTCTTTCCAAAGTTGTAACTGGTTCATCTAGATCGAAACAGACATTTACCCGACCCACTGTCTTACGTGACATGGATATGACAGATGCAAATATGTCAGCGCTAAAGTTTCACCTTAAAAAATTGTATATTTTTTATACAATCTTGGATGAAAATGATTTTTACATAAAAATTGTAGCTCTTAACGAGATCTACAACTATGTAGAATTGTTTTTTTCACTTAAGATTGTTAAGATGCTAAAAATAATATAAAACTTTAGTAGCATATTAATCGTGTATCAGGGCCTATCGCCTTAGAAAATTCATATCTTTCTTGCAGTGAGATGTGATGTGTCAAAATGAAAATCAAATATAAAGTTATGATGTCATGGGATATAGTCTGCAATAAGAGTTCCCATAGTTTAAGCTACGATTTCAACTAATTGCATATTGGAACCTAATGAAGATATTCTATAGAGGGGACCAATGGATATGAATGAAAAGAACATACAAAGAAAGTTTATCTTGGCCGAATCAAGATTACAGAGTATTTATATGAATATCGGTGATAATTATTTTTTACTTTTTTTGTAGGTAATGAATACGATGTATATAAAACTTATATGTTCTAAGAGTCTAAACCATGCGAAACAGCAAAAGCATAGTTTGATGCATTGTTCTTGTGAACCAAGCGTCAATTGGTTGAGTTATTCGTGGTGAAAGCTGTCTATCTAGATTCAAGTTCTTGACTTAGGACAAATACTTCTATTTTTTAGATTATTTTAGGATTTAATGGTGACTTCATCAATATCAACATACGTGAGTTTCTGAGCCTTTCAGAATGTGTACGTTTATATTGATATGTTTGGATGCATGAGTCTTCAAATTCCGTCATAGATGGCCTTTTATGACGGATTTTGGGAATATTGTGACGAAATGAAAATATCATGTATCAACAAAACGGTAGTGCTAGCGCCCGGACGTCTGTCCGGACGCCCACGCCTGCACTCCGTTTCGCGCGCTCCACATGGAGCCCACGCCGCCCGAGCGAGAAGAGGGGAACGGGGTGGTTCGGAAGGACCCGGCCACGGCGTTGATTGGATGCTGAACCGACACCAGGAGGAGAACACACTGAGATGAGGCAGCAGAAGGTGAGGAGAAAGATGTAACACCCGATCTAGTTTTGAAACATCCAGATGCAACACTTACAACATACGTCTGAAGACAGATGAAACACTTTAAACATGCGCTAAAACACTTGCAAAACACACCTGAAAAACACTAGAAACCATTGTGTTAGAGATATGGGACAGGGGTACCCGTACCGCCCGTATATATGACCACCACCAAGCTATCGGCCCAGGAGCCGTCAAGGAGGAGGCCCGCAAAGGCTAACAAGATCAACCAATGTGAAGATCAAGGCAAACCAAGGCGGACGTATCTTGACGATAGCTAGGATCAATCAAGTGTAACAAACTAGGAATATAATCTGTTAGCCCGATCGCCCTCTCTGTAACACTATCTCTCCTGCCTATATAAAAGAGGGTAGGGACCTCGGGCTCGGGATCCAATCTTCCACCAATTCCATCTATCTCGTAGCTAAGAGCAACAACCCCTATAATTGAGCATACAAATACCAGAGCAGCCGCACCACTGGAGTAGGGTTTAGCGTGCACCACGCCCCGAACCAATATAAATCTCTGTGTCTCGTGTGCTACCATCTGATTCCGTCTACATGATCACGTTGCTGGATTTTGCCGAAGCAAAACAATCTGACAGTTGACGCGCCAGGTAGGGGCCTTTTGTGTTCAGAT